CAGCACCGAATAGCTTCAAACATCTGTCAAATATCTTGAGTCTTATGCTTTAAAAACAGAATATATTTTTTTCCGCCAACACTCTAGCGATGTGTATTTTCGCCTATCAGGATGTCAGTCAGCGGAACGGTGCTTATAACTGACAGTACTTGCTGATCATATCAATTACTCTAAAACATAAATATTCCCCCCTGTAATTACTTTCTTGCATACTTTGCTGCAGTTTTCAATGCTTAGGAAAATTACTCTGCTGCTTATGATAATTCAGGAATGAACGAAAAGAGTATAAATAATACTGCCGTATCTTTTATGAAAATAGAAGACAAAACTTACAGAAAATACAACAAACATAAAAATAGTATGCTCATAAAAAAAATATTGTTTATGACTCTTAACTTACTGAATTTGTAAAATGCTTGTGCCCTGCTTGTATTTAGAACAGTCATACTATATTTAAGGGATTTCAATGTACAAATATATTTTCATTCCAATGTTAAAAATTTTGAAATAAGAAAAAAAAAATCACATATTATCTTCTTGTCAGTTTATTTCTATTTTCTATAACATTTTTTTTAACTTTCATGGGTTTTAAAAATGTCCCAATTTCCATTCCATTGACATGATAGGACACAAAATGTAACATAATAACTACTCTGTGTCTTTTATACATGAAAATGAAGACTTTTTTATAAACAAATGAGCCGCGTCATGACAAAACCAACATAGTGCGTTTGCGACCAGCATGGATCCAGACCAGCCTGCGCATCCGCGCAGTCTGATCAGGATCCATGCTGTTCGCTATCAGTTTCTCTACTTGTTATAGGGTTTGTAAGCGAACAGCATGGATCCTGATCAAACTGCGTGGATGCGCAGACTGGTCTGGATCCATGCTGGTCGCAAACACAATATGTTGGTTTTGTCATGGTGCGGCTCAAATGTTGAAGTATGATAGGAATCTGACCAGGATACTTGGTCAGATGACATTGAGCATTGTGAATATAGTACTGACAGCTCCATACCTGACCTGGTAAATCAAGACGCGGTTAGCCGTTAAGTCGCCAGTATAGTGCCAGGTCTATCTGTGCAGTCTGACCAGCACAGTCTGACAAGGCTCTATATGAGCCGCGTCACAACAAAACCAACGTAATGCGTTTGCGACCAGCATGGATCCAGACCAGCGCCGTCTGATCAGGATCCATGCTGTTCACTTAGAACAGCATATTACAAGTAGAGAAACTGATAGCGAACAGCATTGATCCTGATCAGACTGCGCAGATGCGCAGTCTGGTCTGGATCCATGCTGGTCGCAAACGCATTACGTTGGTTTTGTCGTGACGCGGCTCATATATACTGTTGGCTGATAAACCAATTTTTTTCTTTATAAATAAATATATGGAGTGGAAATAAATGTGTGAAGCATAATAAATATGTGAAGTGGAAATAAATATGTAATGAATAAATAAACATGTGAAGTGGGGAAAAACATATGTGAAGTATCAATAAATATATATGGAGTTGAAATAAATATGTAAAGCATAAGTAAATATACTCTAACTCGGTATTATCGGCGCAACTCTATTATCGACGTACTCTCAGTATTTTGTCATGTGCGGTCATGTATACATTGAAATTAAAAATCTTTGACCTCATTCAATAAAAAATGTAATGATTAGTTGATTTTGTACTGCTTTACACAACATATTGATTATTAAATTCATCAATGAAATTCAATGCAGACATATAGGAAAAGTTAAGTACGCCGATAATACGGAGTCCCATGCTATAAGAAGTGGAAATACATATATAAAAATCATAAATATGTAAAACGGAAATAAGTATGTCAAATGGAAATAAATATGTAAAGTGGAATTAAACATGTGAATCACATAAATAAATGTGAAGAGCAAACAAATTTTCCCAGTTTACTGGTGAAGGAAGACCTCAAGTGACTTCATGCATTATTTCAGACACAAACCTGCAAAAATAAAATATGTGAAGTGGAAATGAAAATATGAAGTGAAAAAAATGAATATGTGAAGTGGAAATGAAATGAAGTGGAAATGAATATGTGAAGTGGAAATGAATATGTGAAGTGAAAATGATTGTGATGTAGAAATAAATGTGAAGTGGAAATGATTATGTGAAGTGGAAATAAATGTGAAGTGGAAATAATTATCTGAAGTGGAAATAAATATCTGAAGAGGAAATAAATATTTGAAGCGAAAATAAATATGTGAAGTGAAAATGATTATGCAAAGTGAATATAAATATATGTGAAATAAAAATAAATATGTAAAGTGAAAATAAATATGTGATTTTTTTCACATAACATTAACAGTTGACATAACTTTTAAAGTGAGATCTTAAATATTTTCATAATAAAAAAAATATAGAATAAACCATTGACTTGTATGCAAACAGTATAATACTATTTAATGTAGCAATTGAATATCTTCTTAGCTAATTTATTCCTGTTGGTTTAACGTTTTTGGAGTTGCCTTATAAAAAAAAATATTTTTCATTACACTGTTTTTTGTTTACAAATTATAAGTATGTTGATGTATATCCTGGTGTTTTTTTCTGATCAAATTTTTTAATAAAAGGTTTAAATAACTGGACATACACCAACAAACACACAGGACTGTGAGAACACCCCTACCCCAGTCATACAAGTTACCTTTGAGAAGAGCCCTGTGCTCTAGATAAGATTTTGGGTAAATTTAGTTTTCAGTACAAGTTTCTCTCAGCCACTTAGTACTTCACTATCTATTTTTTATTTTTTCAAAATTCAAATCATTCAAATATCCTACAGCAGTTTTACTTGATGGCTTTGGAATTTGTCGGAAGAAGCAAATCAATGGTGTATCAGATTTAGTACAAGTTACTATACTCTTCCCCCATCTTAAGCATAGGCAAAATTTGCAAAAATGGGGGACTAAATACAAGAGTTAGTGTTTACAAAAGCGCAACATGTGTTTTCATTCGATATGTCTTTGTTATTGCTGCAGAATCATCTAAACGGTGCATCAGTAATTTTTGCCTAATCAATTATATGAAAACAAAATGATGAAAATTTAATCATAATTCTTTTTTAGTATTATTAATTCATATTAGTCCAACGGATTTTAAATTTCAATTTGTTAATTTTTACCCACCAAATCTGTTCTTAAAAATGATGCAACGATGCTTATCTAGAGCACTTGGAAGACATAACAGTAGTATGTCTTTTTCTGATGTCTTAGATGTAAGTCTTCATGCTTTTTGAGACACAGGCCACTTAACTAACTCTATCACATAGCCAACAAGAGGGCCATCATGGCCCTTGATCACTCACCTCAGATACATCATGCTAGAAAAGGTTTTCATTTTTAAGTGTTAAAAGTCAGGATTTGTCATTGTAAATGCAAGCTGCATAATTTTTTAAATATTTGTAGATTTCTGCTAAATCTGCTTCATCTAATCTCTTCACATTGTAACTTCACAAAAGAAACTTAATGAAATGTGTTTTATTATGTAAGACTATATAAACTCAATGGCCCAGTGGCAAAGAACCAATTTTGACCCAAGGGACAAGATTTATATAACTTTTACAGAGGACCATAAGATAAAGCTAGAAGCAAATTCTAAACTCTGGACATTGTACTTTCAGAAAAGAAGATTCTTTAGACATTTTTACTATAACAAAATATATATATACAAAATATCTAAGATCTGGGCAATTTGGACTCAAGGGGTTAAAGTCTATCTTAAGCTCCTATGACCTACTTATGCATCAAACTGGAACTATGTATTCGGCTGCAAAGTCTTACATGAAAAAGACGCATGATTTAATGCTGAACAACACAATTTATTTTGGGAGACAGTCATCAATAAAAATAAAAGTACATAAAAACATTCACATGTATCAGCATCAGCTTGACACTTAAGGACCCATTTTAAATTTCTTGCTTTGCTGCAAAATATTTTTATTTACATTTTCTTAAATTGAAAAACAATATTTTCCTATCTCTGTACACAAATAACAGACTGTTCAACTGTCTGTAGTTTACCAAGACTTATAAACATGTTGTCTTCAACTAAAGGGGAACTGTTTTATATTACAAGAGCTGATGCATTGCAATGTCATAAGACATCTGAATTTTTCAATTTATCCATTAGTTTACCTTAAGAAACTAGAAAAAACAAGTTTGTTTTATATTTATATAAGACTCATAGTGTCATTATAAGTCCTGGCACAATTATTGGTTACCTTTCCGTAAGGCACTGAATTAAGCGTACCAGTCATGTTACAGTATAAGACGAGTACAAGTATGTACATGGAATTTCTGTGTCATAACACTTCCCCTTTAAAGCAGCATGGCTCCAGTGTCATATTAATTTTCATGAAAATTTCAGAAATGTATTTAAAAGTAAAATATTGTGATGTGAACAAAAATAGTAATTTACATATTGCAATCAGCACTAACAATCCAAGAAAATAACCAAAAAAAGGTCAACATGTGCAAAAACAGCCTTTACTGCATTAGTAACGCAGTAGAAATATGATGATAAAATACTGCAAAATCAGTCTTATACCGCACAAAGCATGTAAAATATAACTTTGATCTTGAATGTTTTTACCTTTCTTAAAATTCTAGTACATTTTTCTCAATATTAAATTTCTTGAAATACTTTTGACTCATATGGAGGCTTTAAATTCTAATTTTCACAACTGCGCAGATCTGCACAGGTAGCATTTTATTCGGCTCAGTACAAAGATGACCTTTCTTCACAGCCATTTTATGCTTGGGTAAATATAAAGGACCACCTAAGGATCATTGCCGAGAATTTTGGTTTAAAATCCATCCAGTGATTTAGGAGATGTTGTTTAAAGAAATGATGACTGACAAACACTTGGCCATCACAAAAGCTCACCTCACCTCTGAATGAGTGCTTAAAAGAGGAAAAGAATTTTTAAATATGTTCCATAATTTACAGAGATAAATATTTGATAAACTCACCTAGTAACAAAATCTACAAAGCAACAGCCTGAAGGGCTTATCAGTCAGTAACTTCCATTTTGTTTCTATGCTTTTTGTAGGTTTCAGCCTTGAACCTGGCAAAATGAAACATGATTGAAAATATTTGAAATGTTATAAATAGATCAACTTAATTAACTTTCTTCATTTTAAATCTATGTTAAGAGTGATTTATTTTACATGAAACTGAGAATTTATATTGTAATGCATAAAATATTTCCCAATTCACAAAACTATTGAAAATTTTAAATTTTATCTTGAAAATTACTTAAAAAGTTAGGTTTTCATTAATTGAAGTTGTTTATCTTTTAATGAAAAAAAAAAAAACAACACCATTTATATGTATTTATATTAACATCAGAAAAAATGAAAGTTTGATAGGAAAATTAAATTTTCCTAATTTATGGTAACCATGCTAAATTTTCCCAGTCAATAAGTCAAGAAAGGTAAAAAGATCACTTTTTTCACAAGTAACTTTCTATTTTTCAACATTAATAAGTTGACAGGATTTTTACAAGATTACCATTATGTTTTTTGTTTTGTTTTTACATCATGCATTGTCAAGATTATAACAAAGGTGACTTCAGCTTTACTGGAACTTAAGACAAACCTTCAAGGCATTTTTATATTCACATGTGCCACCTAAATAGAATTACAAACCTGTAAGAACCATACAGTGGTGAAGAGCACATGTTTTGAAGTCAGAAACTTTAACCACAAAGCCAAGGAGGCCCTGAAGATTAAATATGTCTGCACATATATGGTTACAAAACCACTACAATGTTCAGGACATTATCTAATGACTACTAGGATCATTGAAAACTAAAAATAGTGGGTGTACAATTAAGAAGACAAGACATCTTACAATATATACATACATTACTAAGTAGTACATTTCTAATTAATTTAGTATGTTACATAAACCATCATATCAACACCTTGAAGTCATAAGGCAAAGTTCCAAATTGTGTCAGCAGCGTACAGGTGCATTACTTTAAAACACAAGCTTGCACTTTATACCAAACATTTATTTATTCTTTATCTCAGTTTAATGTTTTAAGTCCTGCTCACATTGTCAATGTCATGTAATGATTGCTTCAATGTTAAAAAAAGAAATTAAGTACTTAAATAATGTCCCTCAGTACTTAAATAATGCCCCTCAGAACATAACAAAGGAACAGATAGCACAGTGTGTGTCTACGAACATATCCTAAGTAGGAATCAAACACAGAATGAGAGACAAGCACACAAAAAAATTCAGAGACAATTAACCAATAGCTTTGACAGTCTTTGAAATCAAATATTAACCCTTTATAAGCAAAACTTAAAAAGAAAAATTGATGAGCAAGTGAACAAAATTCATAGATAGAAACCATATCTATGTACATGTAGATTTGAGGGCCGTTGTATCATCTTTTACATTTATGGAAATAAAATCAATGCAAGAGTCCACCAATGAGCTATTGGGTCACACAGCATTTTTTTTTGCAAGAAGATGAAAACAAAATTGTAAATTCAATTTTTAGAGGAAAACAGTAAAACTATAATTTTAAAGAATTTTCATAAAGGAGAGCAGCCCATAAAAAGACCTTGCAATAGAAAGAAGAAAAGCCCTTGGTCCAAAGTTATAAAGAATTTTTCTATGTTCAAACTCCAATCTCAGGTATTTGATTGGTCAAAAAAACAGCACAGAATGTAAATTCACCAATGAAAATGATGAGATCTGGGACAGGAACCAGAAAAAAAGTGCATCACCTTAAGGCCTAGATGTCCTAGCATCCATTATATCAAGAGACAACAAGCTGTAATTTTGCAGATTGTTTTTTTTTTCAAAAATGCTTGATAAACTAGGTCAAAGGTCAAATAAAAGCCTTACAGAATGCTAAAAATTTCCAGTCAAAAATGCTTGATAAACTAGGTCAAAGGTCAAATAAAAGCCTTACAGAATGCTAAAAATTTCCATTCTATTGAGCCTGTTAATGGATGGCAGCAGGAGATGGAATTAACCTTCAAGGTCACCTTGCACAAGCTAAAATAGAACTGACCATTTTATCACGAATAATGCATTTAATCAAGAATTCAGAAAATCTGCAGATGATCATAATTCTATTGGTCAGTGGAAATCAGCTATTTTATAGGTAACAGTTTATAATTGTCCAATGCTATTGTATTATGTTCACAAGTATCAACGGGTTAACAAACAAAAGGGCTAATACATTAGTTAGGATGCTAAATGACAAACATGAGCAGGTAATGACAATTTATAGCAATTAATAAATATGACATAAACTGACAGCCTACGTCGGTTCTGACATTTTTCATTGTAACGAACATTGTAAAAACTGACAGGCGTGGTTAACAGAAACAAACTGCAGCATTAGTGAGGCCTCGGGTCAACCAAGGTCAAGTGATAATTGAATAAGTGAAAGGTTATTTAAGGTAGCAATATGGTAATGATGATTATATCTTGCTATTGACACTAGTGATATAACTTTAATTGGCAAGCTGACCTTTATTATAAGCTGAACAGACAAATTTCTTCTCAAGTTTTGTTATCTATAACTTGATATATATCAACCTTTCATATCAAATTACGGCTCACACATTTCACCTTTATGCTATTTATTAATTTACCTTAATTTTTCTACTTCGCTTCTTCACATACTGCAGCTTCCTTTTCTTTTCACTCAATCTTTTCTTTAGGTTCTTTGCTTGGAATTTTCACTCTGCCTCCTCGGTTTCTATTTCTTCTTTGGTAGCTTTTCATTGAAATAATAAGTGCCTCTTTTTTTGGTCTTTTCAACTATGATAAGAGATAATTAATGTTATTAAACATTGCTATAATCAACCAAAATCTACATGGTCAAAACATAATTATGCCTAGCCCAAGATTTGAACACACGAAATCATTTCTATACAATTTTATACTAGGCTTCTTAGACCTACAATACAGTCTAACCTGCATTAGAGACACTCTGTTTTGATAAGTTTTTAACATCCTGTCTACAAGGACCTTATCTGAGATATTATAATATATTGCATCTTAATATAACAAATGTGACAAGTGACCCCATCTAGAATTTTTACTGTTCAAAGTGACTTCCCTTATTCCAAAGTCACTGTTCTAGAAATACACAATATCAGCAACATATGAGTTAACGTTCTGCTTGTCAACTGGCTTATGCATCATAGGCCAATTAGCAGCAAAGGTGACTGTGTAATCTGCATGCTGCAATTTAATGTCAAAGGCTGCATATTAAATCTGTGTCGGTTTAGTTGTCGATTTATAGAAGTTTTGGATAAATTAAATGTTTGAAAGATAAGGAGACTTGTGTGTTATGCTTTTATTCACAGATGCCTACCTTACAACAAATGAGCCTGCGTCACAACAAAACCAACATAGTGCGTTTGTGACCAGCATGGATCCAGACCAGCCTGCGCATCCGCGCAGTCTGATCAGGATCCATGCTGTTCGCTTACCAACCCTTTTACAAGTAGAGAAACTGATAGCGAACAGCATGGATCCTGATCAGACTGTGCCGATGAGCAGGCTGGTCTGGATCCATGCTGGTCGCAAAGGCATTACGTTGGTTTTGTCGTGACACGACTCAATGATGAAAACAAGCTCTATGATGCAAGCCTTTACTGATATAAACTAGAAATGTGTCCATAGGACACGGATGCCCCCACACGCCACTGTTCTGTCAATCTTATGACTCTAGGTCAAATATTTTTTGGACTACATGTGCCACAAGTTGAATAGTGAAAAAATCAACAAAGGGCCATAATTCTGTTAAATTTGGTCGCAGCAAAAATTCCTTCCTTTACTACCATCTACACATTAAGGTTGTAAATCCCTGGAAGTTTAAGCAAAATCTGCCATCCGGTTTAAGAGGAGTTGCGTTCACAAAATTTCTACATAGTATATAATGAAAAAATCAACAAAGGGCCATAATTCTGTAAAATTTGGTTGCAGCAAAAATTCCTTCCTTTACTACCATCTACACATTAAGGTTGTTCATCCCTGGAAGCTTAAGCAAAATCTGCCATCCGGTTTAAGAGGAGTTGCGTTCACAAAATTTCTACATAGTATCTAGTGAAAAAATCAACAAAGGGCCATAAGTCTGTTAAATTTGGTCGCAGCAAAAATTCCTTCCTTTACTACCATCTACACATTAAGGTTGTTCATCCCTGTAAGTTTAAGCAAAATCTGCCATCCGGTTTAAGAGGAGTTGTGTTCACAAGATTTCGGGACGTACGGACGGACAAGTGCAACGCTATATGCTCCCACATTGTGGGGGCATAAAAATCAACAAAGATAGTAACTTACCATATATTATACTGTTTTCTTGTTCTATGAGTAAAATAATGCATTCTAGATGAACAATAGTTGGAAAAAAATGATGTTAAGGCTTTTTGTCAAAGGTGTGAAATTTGCTCGTAAATACATGCAACCATCTTGAAAAAATGTATTGAAATTTTAAATACCGATACCAGACTTTGAATATTAAGACCCTCTGTGTAAAGCAACTTTATTTAATAATTCTATAACTTTATACTGAATTTATTTTAGTTTGATTGTGTTAAGAAGCTATAAGCTTATAGACACACTTTTGAATCTGTTCCTGACTGAGCAATGAGTCAGGTATGACAGGGTTTGAACCTATACAGCTAGCGATTATTAGATTACTAGTCAGACGCGTTAACCACTTGGCCATGCCACTACTACAAATTATGATCTGAAGTCACTATAGACAGGTTAGACTGTATTTGTACAAAAACACCATAAAATATCATCATTTATCATAAATCAAACAGGTTAACAGCTTTCATAAATAGTAATTTAGGGTAATTTGCATCTGTTTTTTCTCTTGTTTTTGTCCTAGTCATTCAAATGATTAAAGTGAACAAAATTAATATGCACAGTAAAAATATTCCCAGAAATCTTATTTGATCAGAAATCTTGATAAGAAAAATATGAAAACGTCAATTTTATTTGTTGTTATGTGATAGATATGTTAAAACCGGCAGGAGCTGTACATTTCTGTTACATTTGTCCTTACAGTGCCCTCCCTTTTTAAGTACTCAACTGGCTGCCCAACCCACTTTGATTCTTATCTTTCAAAAACTTTCATTTCTTTGAGTTTTTTTCCTTAATTCTGTTAAAACCAACAGGATCAGACTGGGCGTTTTTTCATATTTAACAAGAGAACTATTGTGCTTTCTTAACATTGCCTTGATGGCCAATAAAGTACTTTTTCTCATTTATTTCAATGAATATTAAATTTATTATTGACTTATCCAACTGAATTTATTTCAATGGATTTGACCTCCTTCAAGTATGGAACCATTAATCTTTACCATTCTAAATATCTTGCATAAATCTGGACAAACAAAAATTGCTGGTTGATCTTGGTCTGCACTTGCAGGGTTTTTTTCCAGTATTTTGGGAACATGACCCATACCCTTGAGATTGGGAATTTTAGCGGCATTTTGCCCAAAATTGGGAAAAAAACCACAACATTTTCAAGTTTCCTGAGGCAATATATTCCTTTTCTAATATTATAGGATTTAGTTCACAAAAGTAGGTCTCTGATTTTTAAATTTTTGAACTGTGTTATTGTATGGTGTTTTGACTTTACACCTCCTGGATGTTTCACCCCTGGATGTTTCACCCTCAAAACCCTGGTGTTTTCATCACCACTTTTTAAATTTGATAAATATATGAAATAAATACCATTATGGGTTAATATTATATATAATATAACACATACTTGCAAACAATTACATTCATGAAGAAGATTTTTTTGACATAAATATAGTGAAATTTCCCTGGGAAAATAATTATAAATATGAGTTCTGAAAGAATTATCAGCTATAAGTCTACATGTATATATTATTTCATTTTTTTTTTTGTTATCCAAAAATTAAATACCATAAAAATATTGATTAAATAAAAATATGTTTTTATATAAAAGATAAGAACAGTTAGAAGTGTGAAACAATTTTGAATAAAGCATTATAAACACAGGTTTATTAATTACTAAATTAGCACCTTTAGAAGTGTGTAACTAATAGTTCTTTTTAGTTTTTATAAAATAGGAAATAAAATTATATGATGAAAATAACAGTGTTTATTTTAATGTTATGTTATTGTATTGTGCATACATTGTAGATATAGTAATTAATTGGCTCTAAATAAAATTTAGTAAATCTTATCATTTTGTTTTTATCTGTTTTTCATACATTGATACATATTTGGTAAATTTTATTTGAACAAGAATGTCATTTTTAAATAAAATTTCTTAATTATAAATTTCAAAAAACAAATATTCTCTCAATGTCTATCATGCAAATTTATATGATAATGAGTTATCTGTCATCTGTAGCTGAAAAAAACTCGCACAATTTGCAACAATACCAAACTTTTGCACCACTATAAAAGAACAATGCGTACTTCAACTCGTATTTGTTGGAACTTAATAACATTTGATCATTGACAGGGACAACTGTATCTGATTTAAACTCGTCGCTAGAACTTTTAAAACCTTGAGAAGGAACATCATTGGGTAACTCACGGTCAGCGTTGAAGGATTTCCCAATAGTACTTGCAGTTTCATTCGCCGTTACCGTTTCAGAAGTACAACTCTTTTCCGAGAGAGTCGCTTGCGTAAACAATAAATCATTTTTTTTTGTTTTTATCAGTGCTTTTTTAACGTGTGAAACATTTTGATTTACTTTCACTTTCGAAGGTCGTCGGTATCGATAAACTTATACTAAGAAATCAAGCGTCTACTTAACACGTGGGTTGTTTAGACGCCGGCTATTTTCTTAATTTTACGTTCCCCCAAAGATCGATTTTTAAAAATTTTTTTTTAAGTTTTCGATTGGGAATTTTTGTATCAAAATTGGGAAAAAAACATACTATTTTCAATTGGGAATATGACCGAATAACGGCTATAAAATCGGCCAAAAAAAACCCCTGACTTGTCACATGGCCACCAGTAGTTAATACATTAAATGATTCAAAGGACTGATATAGAGCTTTGTAATAGGCTATCAGGAAACTACTACATCAATAAGAACATTCATTTTGAAATAAATTTGTTGTTCTTTATGTGATAAGATTTCTTTTTTTTTTTTTTTCATTTGGTTGGGTTTTACATCACACCAAAACAGTATATGTCATATGGGGACTTTCCAGCATAACTGGTGGAGGAAGACCTCAGTTGCCCTTTCAGAAATTATTTCAGACACGAATGGGCACCTTAGTGGAACCACCGACAATTCATTAGCTAGCTTAATAGTTTCCTAACATGAAAGAATCAAAATTCCATGTTGAGATTCAAAATAACAGGGGAAAGGGCCAAGTGGTTTGAAATCAACAACATACCCTGCTCAGAGACACCTTGACCTTTAACATTTTGAGATAAATATTGATTTGGCAGAAATAACTAATCAAAGGGCATACACATATAAAAATTCAATGTAATACATTCAAGTTTAAACAATTTTTTATTAATAACCCACACATTTACATAATAAAGTACATAAAATAAAATTTACGGATTGAGTAGGAAGCTTGTAAAGCTTTTTTGAAAACTCTCCCCATAATACATTTGTTAACATTTAATTAAATGAGCATTAACAACTTAACCGTTAGGACCACTGATGCAAACGCAGACAAGTGGGTCATGAAAATTGTTCCACATTTTCTTTGAAAGAGCTAAAAAGGGGCATAACTCCAAAAAAATTGCTTTCAGTAAAACACCTATTGTTTACAACTGCACCTGTTTTCAAGTTTCACCTTGATACCTTGAAAAGTGCGAGTAATTTTTGCAACAATTTTGCACAACATCACCAGCAACAAGAACAGTGCAAGCATTTTTCCTTAAAACTGTCAAGATAAATAAAGAGCCGTAATTCTGCAAAAAAGGATCACATCAAAAAATTTTGACAATTTTGCTTTGGCTTATAAAGAGCAGCCCATGAGCATTATTTAATAGCTATTTAGTTCTAGGGCATAGAAGACTTAAATGTGTTTCCTCAAGTATATAAAAACCGAGGGCCAATTTTAGACCAACCAGAACTGTGTTCAAAGGACACGAATGCCCCCACTAAAAACATATATATGGTATATAGTGAAAAAATCAACAAAGGGCCATAATTCTATTATTTGGTCGCAGCAAAAATTACTTCCTTAACTTCCATCTACACATTAAGGTCGTTCATCCAAAATCTGCTATCTGGTTTAAGAGGAGTTGCGTTTACAAAATTTGTATATGGTATATAGTGAAAAAATCAACAAAGGGCCATAATTCTGTTAAATTTGGTCGCAGCAAAAATTCCTTCCTTTAGTACCATCTACACATTAAGGTTGTTCATCCCTGGGAGTTTAAGCAAAATCTGCCATCTGGTTTAAGAGGAGTTGCGTTCACAAAATTTCTACATAGTATATAGTGAAAAAATCAACAAAGGGCCATAATTCTGTTAAATTTGGTAGCAGCAAAAATTCCTTCCTTTACTACCATCTACACATTAAGGTTATTCATCCCTGGGAGTTTAAGCAAAATCTGCCATCCGGTTTAAGAGGAGTTGCGTTCACAAGATTTCGGGACATACGGACAGATGTATGGACGGTCGGACGGACAGACTGACGGACAAGTGCAACGCTATATGCTCCCACTTTGTGGCGGCATAAAAACTAATTTGCATACCAATTATAGAAAAAACAAGCAAAATTAAATAATTTGACCTTGAAGGTTCATTGATGAGTGAACATCATAATCAATAAAGTCTGCAAGGTCTTGTCCTAGGGATTGTTATGTCTTAGATTAAAGACAATATAACAAATTTATAGCCAATTATACCTTGAAGGTCAAGGTCATTTATAAGCAAACGTCAAGTTCTGTCTGGTCAACTTTAAGGTCTTGTCCAAAGGATTGTTGTGTTAAAGTATGAAGGCAATCCATTGAGAATTTAAAAAAAAATATGACCAATGTTACTGTTTCAGGCAAAGTCAACAACAACAGATTAGGCAGGTTACTTTGAATCAGATGACCACCATTTCTGGTCACATGATATACATAATTATGGTCATGTCAGATATGAAGGAGTAGCAAAGCATGATGTAACCATTGCGAAGAGTTAGGACATACTCAAACACAAACTTATGCATGCACAAGTTAATGTTTTCAACAATGTTTACCTACATTAACTTCCTTGTATAGACGATATAACTAAACATACATAATACTGAATCGTTTAGAACATGAAAATCTTTACATCGTAAGTAAAGTTTTTGCTTCCATTTTATGAAATATAATTACTGCACAACAAGTAATTAAATTTGGTTACACTCGCTGAAAACTTTCTGTAGCCCCAGAATCTCAGCACATGTGACAAAGCTGCTTGCGCAAAAGTGAGCACCACAATATGACTTGTCCATTTATCAGATCAATGACATCATATAGATCTACTTGTACAGTTTTGTCAATTTGTTAATATAATTTATCACATACCTTCACATTGATAAACTGTTGTTTCCAAGGGAACCAGTGTTTCTGCAAATTTATGTTTTTGACGCAATTATTCCACAATTGATGAGTTTTCAAGTTAAGTTTGCTCTGATGCAAATAAATGATATTTTTTAAATTGAAAAACAAGTTATTGACTACACAATTAACCTTTAACTCAAAGCAAGCGAATTTAATCCTAGACTTTTACCGTTCCCAGATAGAAGCAAGAATTGACCACTTTCTTGATTACCACATCGTGTAAATGGAGGTGACTTTCCCCGGCTTTACTTTTACCTGCATGCTAGTGGTAACTAACTTATTATAGATTATCAAATTGAGGTGTGGAAACTGGATTAAAAATAATGTTTGTTCAACTAATAAATATGAAGCATTTACATGGCCACTTGTATTTCCTGTGATTGTTTTGAGGTACCTGTTTGTTTTGGTTAATGACTGCCGACACAGATTATTACTTAACCCCTACAATCAAATATTTTCGGTAGTAGTAGGGATTCAGTAATAATATTGACCTGACAAAAAAATATTAAATATTTGTAAGCTGAGGTCCTTTCATGTGCATTATTATTTAGACAGCAGACAAAGTTGCACAATCTTCAAGATCATATCGCAGCAATTGTCTTTGATTTGAAATGCCGCCATATTGTACGGAAATTAAACATAATTTGTCCCAGTTGTTTTTTGAATATCTATGCATAATTATTCATGTCAGTAATTTGACCGCTTGATGTTATGTCTACAAAGTCATTTTATTTTTTATTTTACATTAGCCTATGATTACTTTACTAATACTGATTTTGTATACATGTCAGTTTCCTTGTCACCAATGCAGATGTCCAAGTTTTTAAACATTATCTGCTACAACAAGGGTATACAAGTATATACATGTGAAAATCATATGAGCCGTGTCATGACAAAACCAACATAATGGGTTTGCGACCAGCATGGATCCAGACCAGCCTGCGCATCCGCGCAGGCTGATCAAGATCCATGCTATTCGCTATCAGTTTCTCTACTTGTAATAGACTTGGTAAGCGAACAGCATGGATCCTGATCAGACTGTGCGGATGTGCAGGCTGGTCTGGATCCATGCTGGTCGCAAACCCATTATGTTGGTTTTGTCATGATGCGGCTCAAATATCATCAAAAACTATCACAGATGTAATCAAATCTTACACAAGACTACATATGATTTATCTTTTCTTTTTCTTTTCTTGTTTTTTTTCCATGAACAGGATTCAAATAATTATTAAACAGATGAATAGAATAAATAGTGAATGAATGATGAATGCCAAAAAATGCAGAAATGTTTTAGAATACATAAATATTTAAAACAACATCAACATTTTATTCTTATTTCTTTTTTTTTTTGTTCAAGTTGCTTCGATCCGCTTTATAAAAATTAGTCACTATCTTATTATAATAATGAAATATTAGGAAACAAACATAATTATTACTTCCTTTCTAAAGGTAACGAAAACAAGAGGGCCTGTATTGCTCACCTGATTCTACTACCACAGCAAAATTACTATCTTTTGATCATGAAGAATTTATCCTAGCTTTGTTTTCAAATACACTTTTAATATTGAAGAAATTACTTGTTGAAAACTTTTTGACATGTCATATTGATGGTGAAAAATACCAAAACTGGCACTAGTTTTTCCCCTTTCGTGTTCCGATTTATTGAATGTCTGAAAAGACACCCAATAGTTGTTCAAAATATATTATGCAAACGCAAAATAATAAAATGTTACTGTTCTATATTGACTTAGGGCTATAGATATGATAGTGTTCTTTATTTTTGGCAATATAATATTGTTAACTATTACATGAATAAGATCATAAAAGCACTTTCAGGGTATGTGTGTTCTTTATATCAACTTAAAATTCAAGCCGTATATTATAGCATATTTTAAAAATTCAAGGAATATGTGATTATAAGAGTGACAAGTGTCTTTTTTCATTAAATGTTCCATATTCAGAAATATACTGAAAACGACACACAACTGTATAAAAGCTGTAAATAAAAAATATGTTTTTTTTTTATTTTAAGTAGATTTAATAGTTATTAAAATACAGTTCAAAATGTATTCAAGTAAATTTTCTAGAAAAATTTAACCTGGTTCAAGATTAAACAAATCGTTATATTCAAGGCTATATAGCATAATAGTTTTCAAAGGAACTTCTTAAAAATAAAATCTACCAAGACTTTTTTCAGAAAAAAGTAGTTCAAACATGTTACTAAATGCATGAAATATGTACACTTTTAAATTGTAAGTGTCAATTATATAAGCTTATCAGATAATCCAATCTAACCTTTTGCCATTGGTGGGAACATGTTCTTCCAAATCTTGATAAGCTAATCAAGTGCTGGTCACATACTGGGCAATCAAGTGGACCCCTGTTAAAACTCTCAACAATCATGCCTATGTCTGAAAGATAAATGAAAACATTCAAGTGTTGCCTTGCTATTCTTCAAGTTTTTTTCCTCACGTTGATAATTTAAATCACTTAAGATTGCATGATCCTTTAATCTTGATCTTTTTTATTGGCTTAATAAGTTGCACTCATGTCCCCACTTCCCAAAACAACACTTGTTTCATAATGCTAGCATACAATTTTTGATAGTTACAGACTGGTGGCCTAGTGGTAGGTTTAGCGGACCTGTTTATCAAAATTAAATCCACGGCAAACTATTTTTTTTAAGATTCCTTCAAATTATACGTAGATCAAGTGGATAGATCGGGTGTCTGTTTTTCTTTTTTTTTTTTCATAATTTTGTTTAATACATGTACGTATTTATCCATGAAATTCAATGACAAGTCATACAATGGGTGATGCACAAAAAAAAAACACAAGCAAGACTCAATAATTTCACCTAGACGGCAAGGTCTTTTAATTAAAGCTCAAGATTGAAGTCAGCGCAACCTTTTTGAAAATCTTATTCAAAAGATTTTTGTCCTAGTATGACCATGATCCGTTAATAAATTAATTAAAAAGTTACAGTCAATTATAGCAAAAATCAGTGAAAATTCAATAACTTTACCATCTGATCATGGTCTGCACTTTTGGCTGGTCACTACATATTTCATAAAGTTTCCCTTAAAATGATGAATGGTTTTGTCCAGATTGGAAGATAGACAAGTCTATTTTAGATATTTAGCATGGTAAGGGTTAAAGGCACAATTTATAGCATATTATTGGTTTATCATTTCACTATCATCTCATTATCTTACAAGTTAAATAATTATTTGTTAAAACCTTCTTTTATAATTTCACTCTTCTATAGCACACAAATAAAAATAACTTTTTCAAACCTAAACAAATGCAACAACAAAATCATGAATGCAATTAGAAGACAATAATGAAAAGGCAAGTCCTAACCCAATTGCTGTGTTCCACAGAGATTGAACATTTCCCATAGCAACACTTTAACACTCATGCCTTAATATACAAAAATCAGGAGAGCAGTACAAACTCTTTAAAATGAAATGAAGGTTAAATGAAAATGCACAAAAATAACTTTTCTAGAAGATATCATACTCAAAATATTGGGAGTTTTGTTCATTTAAGTCATTTCCTTTTAGAAATCATAGAACTCTAATAGATTTTTCCTTAAAATATTGACACAAAAGTTTCAGTCCAAAATTATAATCAGGCAGGCTAAATATAATAGCTTGTGTTTTCTATACATTGTTTTGGCTTCATGCTTCCAGATGACTTTGACAAACATATTTTTCCATTCTAAAAATATGTTGACCAATTAACATGTTTTATGGATCATACAAATTAATTTAAAAATAATAATCTGTTGGGTCTTATTTTTAATCACTACTCTACATAGTATCAATAATTACAACAGCTATTTCCATACATAAGGATAGTTTTAAGTAATTTCTGGGGATAGTCAGAGCTTTATGTTAGCTTTTAATCACATAAAGGTACATGTCTTAGAAATATATTTTTTTAAATTCCTTGGTTAAGGTCAAACATCAGGGGTTTTTTCCCAGGATTTTGGGAACATGACCCATACCCAAGGAATTGGGAATTATAGCAATGTTTTGTTAAAAATTGGAGGAAAAATACATTGACTTAAATTTTGCAGTGATGAAATGAATGCAAAGAATTACTGTCCTAAGGATAGCATCTTCAAACATTTAAGCACCGTTACATTGAAGAAGTTCTTATTTTCAAAGATTTTATAACTTTGTAACTTTCAATTGGGATATTTTTCCTGTGGATTTGGAAAATAATATACTATTTTCAATCTGGTCCAATATCGGCCATAAAATAAGCCAAAAAAAATAATCCCTGAACATATATTTTAAATAAAGTTTTAACAAGAGTGATCAGTGCTCACATTGTGTTACCTGATGATAGCCAATTAAACAGTTGAATTCAGGATTGATTGGACAGTTTGTCCCCTATATGGCATGTATAGGTATCAGAGAAGTTGTCTGGGAAAACTTTTAAAATAAAAATCATTTAAGGGTCACAACTTTTTATAAAAATCACAAAATTGCATAAGTATTTTTCTTTAGAAGTTTTGTGACAACACAGACAGACTCAGAAGGATTCCTGTATGTTGCCGCTATTTCTTAGCATGTTGTAAAGCATTTTACATGTTAAAGGCCCATATACTACAGAAATGCATTTGTAGCTCTTTTTTTTCTTTTTTTTTCTTTCTTGCTGTACTTATACCATTTCTAAACAGTTTTCATTGGCCGATTACCTAAACCTAAACCCACTTGCCCCTCACTGGTGTGTGTTCAATTCCTCACAGGGAATTTTGATTAAAGATTTTACATAAAAGTCAAATACTATATTGTTTACATTTCAACAATTGTTTTTACATGCTATTTTCTCAGGTACAAAGAATCAAACAATTGCTCTTAAACCATTATTTAAACATTATAAAGTTCATGTATTATTTTGCCCTTTCTAAAGAAGTAAGAATATATATATTTGTGAATCTTATTGTGCCTCAAGGAATTAGCCCTAAACATGTGTTGTACAGGTAGCAAAATGTTAAAAAGTATTTTGACATCTATACAAAATACTAAATTACTATTAGTGTACTATTAAGAGCGCCAAAAAGCAACAAAAGAAAAATATGGTTCATTAAATTTTCACTATTATGATCAATGCCATTTCTACGGAGAAAAACAAGCAAAAGATGTTTCATCTATATGGTGAATGAGTAAATGTTTTAGTAATTAAAAGGAGGCAGAAAAAATATAAAGTTTTTGAGAAATAAAAAAGATTGCATATTGGGAGCTTGATTTATAAATGTGACCACATTTTTACCAAAAAAAATATTTTTAAATTCTCTTAAAAGTAAACAGAACAAAAGCAGTTAAATATCCTTTTAACTAAATTTTTTATGGTTTTAAATCATGAATATAATGTTCAAATGAAGATTTATCAATATTTTAAGTTCCAAAAAGCATTATTTGTAAAGATATTACCAAATTTACATTTCATGTTAATAAAGGGAGGCAATTTGAAATTTATTTTCTCTAAAGTCTAAGTCAAATTTTTCAATAAGAAATGAATGCATACATTTTAATGATTACATATAATGTGGACAAATATTTGCAGTACATATTTTACATATATTCTTCTATGTTTGAAAATTGTTTTAGAATTTAGAAGCATAATTATATTCATATATAAAATTTCAATTAACTTTGGTAACAACCTTAATTATAACCTACAGGATCTTTAAACTTTAATTGTATGGGCAGACATCCAGTTCCATTCTGTGACTTCAGCCTCATTAAAACGCTCATGTTGGGGTCCAATGTCTCAACACCGCGTTCTAACGAGTCTCTCATTAGAACGCTCATTGCGAAATTACCGCATTACCCCACCCACCACATATAATATATAACGCCAGGGACTGCGTTCAGGGCGAAGTCAGGCGAAAACTTCGCCGTAAATATCTTCACTTCGCCCTATATCATCTGAAAAGCGAAATTCTAGTCGCCCTAAAATCTCTACGAAATGTCTGACATGTATATTTCTCCACTTGATAAGACTGCCTGAAGGCAGATTTAATTGGGTAATCTGACGTAATTGGCACACGCCCTGAAGCGTGACCATAGTGACATTTGGAATTCACACTTGGAAATCCACATCGCTAAAAATAGCCCATTGATTACACGTAAATTAAAGGTGTGGAAGACCCTGATATGACTACAGCAGATGATAAAAAGCAAGCTAATTGATAATTAAGTTACCTCAAACGTGTATTTGTGTCTTATTTACAATATCCCCTGTACGTTAGTATTCCCTAAGCGTTTTGTTTGTATATGTCCTGTTTGATTTACTAGTTCCCCTATATGTCCTGTTTGATTTACTATTTCCCCTATATGTCCTGTTTGATTTACAATATCCCATTTACGTTTGTTATCACCATTACATTTATGATAGTAATATTCATAATTAAAACTGATGTAAATTGATAGAATTTGGATAACTATTATGAATTAAAGAACTTTTCTTCTTAATAAATTGCATTTAAAAGTTAGAGTCAGAAACTGTTGAACCAAAAAAAAAAATTTAAAAAGTTGTGTTGATGTAAATCAAATGCTTGAGCAACTAGTACTTCATTAAATATCATCATAGCCAATTTCAAATACACATTTGTTTATTTTCTGTGCCATACACATGTATATTTTATATGCATGTACATATAAAGGTGTTCATGTATATTTTGTGAAATAAAATTAGAAAAAAAATCCAATGATATAACTCGATTTGATGATCACTTCTCCCTAAATTTCAAACTTCTCCCTATTTTTCCTGAAGGGAGAAGTCACTTCTCCCTAAATTTTCAGTCCAAGGTAGTCCCTGAACGCTGATTTTTTTTTACTTACTGTTCAATGAATATCAACATTATCTTTTTCTAAAACCATTCAATGATGTAAACATATATTATATTCACAAATAATACTTATTATATATAAAAGAAAGGAAAAACTTTCGAAAGAAAATTATAAATCATGAATGTATTGTAAACAGTTAGCCATTACTGTAATGACGTTTGATTAACTAGGGGACACAACTAAAGCTGGACTGTAAATAACACTGTAATTTTGGGCTTGTGGGTTATGTAATTCAGCGAGGTTTACATGTTAAAGATATGTGTGTGAATTTTAGATTATTTATACTCACCTACGGTTGCCAATGTCACAGTTATGATATGAATTTGAGATTTTGGAAACAATTTGAAGACAGGTAAAACAACAAAAGAGCGGATAAACGCTTACCTGGGCATGTTTTTCACACCTTTGGCGCTCTTAAATGTCCTAATAACAATGCCAAGGTCTATGAGCGCTATACTGAGATTAGCGTTATAATGAAGAGCGAGTTATTGAGGCTACAGTGTACAAGGTAAAGGGGATAGGATTATGTTGATCTTAATATA